GGCGAAATTCATTTGCTTGAGGCTTAAAAAAGTAAATGACTGACTCTCGAATACCCTCAAGAATTCATAAGAATTTTCTTAAAGGATCCAGAACATTGGGTTGTTTGAGTCGGAACTGTTGGTGAGTTTCGATGTACAATCCATGTACACAAACATCTCAAACGAGAAGGCGGTAAGCGCCTTGCTGGAGATATTTGAGCGAGAAGAGGACATCCTGGAGGCAGAACGGATACGGAAAGAATCGTTAACACGATTGATCAACCTGACAGTAAGGACGACGTATTGTACATTTAACGGCAGTATGTGCAAACAAATATTTGGACTACCGATGGGATCTTCACTCTCACCTCTTTTGGCAAATGTATACATGGACAAGTTGGAAAGGGAATTCGTGAAGTCACCACTGCAACCAAGAGTGCTTATGTGATATTTGGATGACTACTTTGCACTTTGATCGCATAGTAAGGAAAATCTAAATGAAATTAACCAACTTGAAGAAAGAATTAAATTTACAATGGAGGAGGATGAACGGTTACACTTTTTGGATATTAAAGTCATACGCTTCAAGGGCACACTCATGAGGAGATTATACATAAAGAAGTTGCATGTGGGAACAATTTTAATTTTCAATTTTATCATGACTACAGACTGAAGATCGGAATACTGAGTTTGAACATCAGAAGCTTGCGTCTAACGGGCAATGAGTTCTGGGACGATGAGATTGACAAACTGACACAGATTTGCCCAGAGAATTTATAGAAAAAGATGTAGAGGTTATCACGGGGAGATTTCAACACGGATTTTATGAAAATCAGATCAGGAATGAGGATAACAACCAAAGGTGGATTTGCTTGCCTTCATCACAACTGAGCCAATAATTGCGATCTTTATTAGGAAAATGAAATATCAAGGTGATAACAAAGGAGAAGAAAACACTTTTCACCAGTCTGCCGACGCAACACCAGAAGACTAACAGACTTGAATGCTCGGGAGTTTATCGCATCAAATGCGGCAACTATGAGCAGAAGTATATTGGTGAAACAGGAAGAAAAATTGGCCTACGAATTAAGGAACATCAAAGATTCTACAAGAACATGGATACGAAAAGATCAGAAATAGCGGAACACATTGCAGGAACGGGGCACGAAATCGACTGGAAATCGACCGAAAGTTTGGCTGCATGTGGTGAAAATACGAGAAAACGCAAGATCCGAGAGGCCATCGAAATACTGACCGGAGGAATCTAATGAACTTGAGACTTTAAGAAGGCAGGATCAGCGAAAATTTTGCATATTGCCTAAACAAACTCGGAGAAGACCAGTAAACAGGATAAGCAAAAAGAAAACGACTGGATCAAGCTGATATCCTTTATTTTTGGAAAAGACATCGCAAGGGGACGAGAAAGGAACAATCGGAAGCAAAGAGAAGACGTTTTAAGTCTTTAATACCAAGTCTATGACTTTCCATGCCCTAGCTCTTGTGTGACAATTCACAAATGCTGTGGTACTGCTTGCTTTGATTAGGTTCAATGTGAACCATAACGTTTGTGCGTTGGCACACAAGAGACTAAGACGTAGGAAGTGATGGATATGGTATTACAGATGGAAATAGGAAAGACGCGGTGGATACTAGAGCTATGTGGCTAACAATAGAAGTCTC